AAAGGTTTTCGTTGGAAGTTCAGAGAAGTCAAATCGGACACTAGAAAAACTGTATTTCAGTTTGTGGCATTTCTACGGTGATACTTCACAAGATGGACTGACATGGCCGAGTGTGACAATAGTTTTGAGGGACTGGCAGACCTACTAATACGTGAACAGTCCATGAGCACGTGCTCAACTAACATATCACTGTTCCTAAATGAGAGAGCATCAAAAGACGTGGACGAGATAATCAAGCTGACAGAATAGTATATGGAAGCCCATTGAGGGAGAATAACGGGCAAGCCCAAGAATATCCAAGTAAAGTTGAAAGCAGTGGTGGCTGATCAGAATCAGGAATCTACCAAAGGTGATAAGAGATTAACAGACAAATTGGAGAAGAGATGCTATATTTGTTATAATATATGGCACATTGCAAAGGAGTGCAATTCCATCACCAACAAGGAACAGCAGAAATCTCAACATAAAGCAGCTGGAGCTACCTACAAAGATGGTGCTGGCAAGAAATAATAAAAGAATGACTGTTACCATGGATGCTGATGCGAGAAGAAACATATTCAAGAAAACATTTCAGATTCAACACAAGAAGTAAGTGCTATTTCCATGATTTATCAGTGCTTGTTTGTTTTTTGTTTTTGAATTTCGCGCAAAGCTACACGAGTGCTATCTGCGCTAACCATCCCTAATTTTGCAGTGTGAGATTAGAGGGAAGGCAGCTAGTCATCACCACCAACTCTTGGGCAACTCTTTTACCAATGAATAGTGGGATTGACCGTCACATTATAACGCCCTTACGGCTGAAAGGGCGAGCATGTTTGGGGGGACAGGGATTCGAACCCGCGACCCACAGATTGTGAGTCGAATGTCTTAACCACCTGGCCATGCTGGGAACTTTATCAGTGCATGACTAATGGCCAGCTCAAGTTCGCAAGTGGATCAACAGTGTCAGTAGTGATCAGAGCATGTTACAGATATTGAGAGGTGTAAACAAATTACAATAAGCCAATTGGTGAAGAATATGTCAGTGACAAGAAAGCGAAGGTTCTATGACACACTTGGTGCAGTAGTGCAACAGTGAGAACCAGTCTAGTATCGGATAACCAGATGACAGGCAAGATATGTCTGTGTATGCTAATTAATGGGACAGTGAGAAAGTTTCCCATAACAAATATATTGGTGGATACTCCATACTATGTAGGAGACCTTGAGGTCATGTGTATGAAGGCATCAATATATTGTTGCGTCAGCGAGGTCACGTGACTAGTATCACGACACCCGTTTTCTAGAAATATCCTGTTCCTTCAAGAATGCCCTAGCATTTACTAGATATGTGTTAGTCTTGTATATATATATATAAGACGTTGACAACGTGACGGGACAACAGTGTAGTAGTGAGTAATTGAACTGCAGTCAGAGAGTGTGTAATTGAACTCGAGCACGTGAGACGTTCGTTGAGAATTATCGCACGACTGTTGAAATTAGGTGTATCGTAAAGTTGTATTCGGAAAGAATAAACCAGTTTTATTTAAGAAAGGACTTGTGTCGCTAAAGTTTAGTCGGAAAGAATTTACGGAAAATTAACTAAGGACTGGAGGCGTAACAAACTGGTGTTAGAGAGTGGGATAAATAAAAATGGAAACGAGAAGCGGCAAATCAAACTACAGCCTAGCAGACTTAATGGCAGCAATACAAGAACAGCAAAAGAAACAAGAAGAACGAGAAGAGAAATTACAACAGTTGTTAGAGGAAAAAGAAAAGAAACAAGAACAACGAGAAAATAAATAAGAAAACAAACAAGAAGAGAGACAACAGCAGTTGCAAGAAAACCTGCAACAGTGGCAGCTCGAGCAACAAAATAAACAAGAAGAGAGATTACAACAGTGGTTGGAGGAAAAAGAAAAGAAACAAGAAGACAAATTACAGCAGTGGTTGGAAGAAAAAGAAAAGAAACAAGAAGAACGAGAAAATAAACAAGAAGAGAGATTACAGCAGTTGTTGGAGGAAAAAGAAAAGAAACAAGAAGAGAAATTAGTGGTTGGAGGAAAAAGAAAAGAAACAAGAGGAACGAGAAAATAAACAGGAAGAAAGTCCCCAACAACTACAGGAAAGTCAACAATAGTGGCAAGAAGTACAAATGGATAACATTAGTAAATTTAAAAGCGAATTAGATACGTTAAAGGACGACTTTTTGTCTTTTACACAAGGAGGATACATTAACCATCGACTTAAGCAGCCCCAGACAATGACAAGCCCTATTCAGACCCTGCAGCTAAACCCTAATGCAGACATATTCAGTCCCGTTAGAAGTCACATCCCAGATATGAATGTCAGTAATAGGAGTGATCCAGTACGAAGGAAGCCACAAGAATATGATGGGAAAGCACCGTTTGAGCTACTGGCAGAGATGAATGGATGGACAGAGGAGCAGAAAGCTGTATATCTGGCAACGAGCTTGAAAGGACAACCACTGGAAATACTTGGACAGTTGTCAGCAGACGACAGGCACAACTATAGAGCACTGGTATCGGCTCTAAAACTCAGGTACGGAACCCAAAATCAGTCAGAAGTCTACAGGGCCAGGTTCAGGACGAGAGTCCGTGCTAAAGGGGAGAGCCTGCAAGAGCTGGCACAGGACTTGGAAAGCATGGCACACAAGGCCTACCCAACTGCACCACCCGATCTCCTCAAGTTGTTGCTGACGGATCAGTTCGTAGATGCCTTGGACAGTCCACAACTTAAGATACAAGTGAAGCAAGCACACCCCTCTACCACGCAGGATGCAATGGCCAGGGCTCTCGAATTTGAATCCTACGTTAAGTCCAGCAGAGAGGTACCGAGGTTGGTACAGTCATCTGGATTCAAGGCCAGAAAAGGTCAGCTTTCAGAGAGGTTTGGGGGACTTTGCTGGCACTGTAACAAACCTGGGCACAAGAGAGCTCAATGCTGGCAACTTCAACACAGAGGAGATGATACAGCAGGAAAGGCTGCTACCCAGAAAGGCTGTTGGAACTGTGGGGAGCAAGGACATCTGAGGAGCCAGTGTAAGAAAATACCACCAATAAGTCGGCCTCAAGGAGACCAGTAGTGGTTGGTGTTGAGCGACGCCCACCGACCCCCATCTTGAAAGTCCCAACAGCTAGGTGTAAAATGCCAAGCACACACAGTGTCTATGTGACAGGAAAGCTGGATGGTCAAAGGTGCAACGTCAAATTCTCACCTAAATTAAAATCGTTACTG